TCCTGCACTTGGAGGAATATTTTCAAGTGTTCCATTGGGATACTCTTTAAAACCATGTTTTCTGCTCCTGTTTAAATCATACTATCTGCCGCTGAAGAGAAATTTTGTCAGAACTTCAGTAAATAGGATGTATTCAGAAGATAACATTTGGATTAAGAGAAAAAAAAAAGAAATCCTTCTCTAGTGAGTTTCTTCAATGCATTTTTCACTTGCAAGTACACAAGGAATGCATTCCCTTCTTTCTCATTGTTCAATTGTTCAATCATATCCAACTCTTTGTAATCCAATGGATTGTACTGTCCATAGGGTTTTCTAGACAAAGATACTGGAGTGGTTTGCCATTTCCTTTTCCAGTGGATTAAAGCAAACAAAGTAAGTGACTTGTCCAGGGTCACACAGCTAGTAAGTATCTGAGGTCACATTTGAACTCAGGTTTTCCTGACTCTAGGCCCAGCACTCTATCCACTGAGCCACCTAACTGCTTCCTCTCACCCTAGATAATCTTTAAAAAAAAAATTTCTATATGTGTGAGATCTAAAATATGTATGGCTCCTTTAAGACCTTTTGATAAGAATTAATCCAGTGAGCTATGCCACTTAGTCACTGGCTTTTTAAGAATTATGGCCATGTATCAGTATCTGGCATCCATAAAAGAGAACAAGCTTTTTGTGAAACATGTGGTCTGCTGAAGGAAAGCCAACAATCTTTGGAGTTTTTAATTACCCAAACCATCAAACCATCTCAAACCTGCTACAGAGTCCAAAAGAAGAATGAATGATTAGAACATCAATTCAAAATGTAAACATCTGTTTATATTCAGAGCTCACAGTGTGGGTATGTGAGTTTCATTCCCCCCCCCCCCCGGAAAAGACTTTCAGTCCCTATTATAGAAATCGGACATGTTGTAGATTTTGTTCATTCAAGTGGATTCAGCATTTGCATGTAGTTTTACATTTTTTAAAAATGAAGAATGGCTTATTGGGAGCACTAATATCTTATAGTCATATAGTATTATATGTGACAACTCTTTGAACATTCCAAAGTGTTCTGAACCAGGTAATCATTTGATACTCACTGCAACTCTGCAAAGTCAATAGAGTGAATATTAGAGAATTATGATAGGGCCAGACACAGGGTCATAGAACTAGTGCTGGGAAGAACCTCAGACATCATCTAACTTTCTCATTTAAAAGATAAGAAATTTGAGGACCTTGGAAATTAAATAACTTACAAAGGTCAATTGGTTAGTCAATAAACAAATATTTAAGCATCTACAATGTGCCAGGCACTGTGCTAATATCACACAGGTAGTAAATTTATGGGATTAAAATATTATAGATCAAGAACTAGAGAGGTAGCTAGGTGGCACAATGGAAAGAGCACCAGCCCCGAATTCAGGAGGACCTGAGTTCAAATCCAACCACAGACACATAACAGTTACTAGCTGTGTGGCTCTGGGCAAGTTGCTTAATTCCAATTGCCTCAAAAAAAAAAAAACTGGAAGGATTTCAGAGGTTCTTCTAGTCCAATCCTATCATTTTACAAATGAGGGAGGTTATAACTTTTCCCAAGTTCACATAGATAACAAATGTCAGAAGCAGGGTTTGAACTCATGTTTTCTGACTCTAGAAACAGTGTCTCTTCCACTATAGCACTCTTTGTTAGTATATCGATTTTATGAATGAAAAAGATGAGGTTAATTGAGGTTGTGATTTACTCAAGATCACATTCACTTACGTATAAGAAGCAGACTGGAGAGTCCAGGGCTTTTGAATCCCAACTCAATGTGTTTTCCACATTTCAGTATGTTAGATCTATTTCAAAACAAACTTGAGAACAAGCCCAAACCTCATAGGTCTTGAACAAGCCCCAACATAACCCAATATAACCATAATCATGTTATGTTTCTGGGCCTCATTTTCCTCATCTGTGAAATGATGGGGTTGCAATAGACAATCTCCCTTGCACCTCTAGTAGGGTATGATCTTCTGATTTATTATCTATGGACAAAAGTCAGGCAGCAAATCCAGTTGGACATTTGGTAGGTCATGATTTATTTCAATACTTGGGGTGAATTTCCATAGTTCAGAACCATTTTTGCTTTCTCATTTTGTTCCTTTTCACTGTGCACCCAAATCAGGTTGCATTGCCCAATTCCCTGGATTCATCTCCCTTGAAAGAGGGCAGTGACTCAATACTGAAAAGATCAGGGCCCAGGCTGCCAGTGAGAACCACTGCATTCAATATGCAGATGTTTAGCCTCCCTTACAATTCTGTTTCTAATTTAGGAGCTGAGCTAATTTTCCCAAACGCCACTATTCATCCAACTCTGAGAACTCTCCTTTTTTTTTTTTTTTTTGCTTCTTATAAAAATTGTGCTTTTGAAGGGAGAAAGCCTATTGATTCACTAACTTGTTTTATATAACTTGAGAATTTTCCCCAAGGATTCAGAATTTTCTGGCAGGCTTCCCTAATCAAAAAGAGGGACCAAATATTCAATTGACATCTATCCACAATTCATTCCAGTTATCCTTCACCTGTGATTACCCAGTTTGGGTGTACTGAATGCAAGGAGTTAATACCAATAGAATTCGTTCCTCCTACAAGCAAACAAAAGAAGGGGGTGAGGAGAAATTTGCTTTATAAATTATTCAAGTATATTCAAACATAATGCACCTGTTGCATTGTTCAATAGCAAAACCCCTGCTGTGTCTTCTATTTCATGGTTTTTTTTTTACCTGTATTTTGTCTAGATAAGAAGCAATCATTATGATACTGATTATACAGGCCAAGGAAGTGTCATAATCTGACTTCAAAGATAGGGCCGTGCATTTGGGGTCTGCAATAAACAAACTAAGAAGAATTAACACTTCCTTGCATTTTCGAAGGAGCATGCCCGCTGGTGCCCTACACACTTTGTAGCACATGAACTCATTTAATCCTTATAACGTCTTTGTGGAAGATACCAAGACAGAAGATATTGTTCATTATAGAATAAGTATATTGCCTCCTGCTTCCTACCTCTTTCCCTGGGTGGCCATTAGGAACAATGTCCATGAAGCATTCCAATCTCCTTGCAATCAGGCAATGTTCTTTTCAAGGAAGAAAACCTCTACTTTGAGGCTGTTCTAGATGAAGGGCATGAAGGGTTAAATGTCTGGCCTAAAGTCACGCATATATTAAGGTACAGAACCAGAATTATCAACTAGGTCTTCCGTCTCGGAGTCCACTGCCCAATCCCTCCCACGTTTCCCTGAGCCTCTCCTAATTTTTCCTTGTGGGACCAACCCTCTCATTCTGCTCCCCATCTCACTAGGCTAAGAATGTGAGCAGAAAAGACCATGTTTATGCCTTTCTTTGTATCCCCAAAAGCACAGCACTGTATAATGGTCTCATAAATGCATGTTCATCTATTGTCAACTGAGAAAACATGAATCTAACTCAAAGAATCACAGACTTTTTCCCTCCTCCTACTGCACGTTTCCTTTTTTGTTTTGATGTGTTTTATGGTCTATCTAGACTTGGGATTCCAGTAGTATGGGGAATTCCACATAAAGAAATACCATCAACAACTATTCTGCAATTTTTAGTCAGAGTCGAGTGGGGCACTAAGAGGTTCAATAACTTTTCCATGGCCATAGGCAGTGTAGATCAAAGGCAGGGCCTGAATCCAGTTCTTACTGAATTCAGCTGGTGTTCCATTCCTTCAAGCTGACTCTTGCATACTCCCATTGCTGGCAGAGTTGGAGATGGTGGTGGAAGGAGGAAAAAAAGCCTAACTACCCTAATTAAAGGGGAATAAATAAGAGGGAGAAATGCTGAGTTGCTTACTTTCTTTTAGGCCTTCTGTCTGAGTTCTTTGACTTACTACTACCTGGCTTCTCTATGCCTTGGGCATAAGGATACACGGACACATGACTGTCACAACTTTCCAGTTATTTTAGTTGACAAGGGCTGGCAGAATTTGCAGACATGCTGGGCCAAGGTGAAACTGCTCAAGTGGTCAGCAGTTTGAATGAAATTGTTCTTTTCACCCACATCCAGCCCCTCTGAGACTGAATACAGTCACGATAAAAACTCCATTCACTGAAAATTGATCTTGCATTTTTCAGGGTCTCTTCTCTTCAGTGAGAAAACTTCACAGATTTTACACTTCTGGTCCCCAACATCCATACAGTTGCTTGAGAGGCACAGCAAATTAACTTTGGTGTGAGTTTTCCACTGGTACCATGGCAATCCTTCTATAAACACAATCCCAGGAACAACTAATTTCCTGTTTTAACTAGTGCTGAACAAAGGAAGTCAGGTTATTTTTCCCAGGATAAGAAGCAATAAAACTACACAGGGAAAGTAGTAGAAACTATTCTTTCCTTGCCCTGTGGGGTATGAGAGCCAATAATTCAGCCACAAAAACTAACATGACCCTTTCTAGAACAGTAGGTCCTACTGAGACAGTGATGCCAGACAGCTGCTCCTTTCTTGTCAGACACTGGTGTCTATGCAGGTTAAAAATAGATGGACCCAAGACCCACACATATCCAGGAAGTGGCATGCAGAGCCAAGCTTCAGGAAAAGCAGAGCGAGTATTCTACAAAAGTCCCCTCCCATCATAGAATGTAGAATAATTGATTTAGAGCTTAGAGGGGATGTTATAGACCATAAGATCCAGTCCCCTCATTTCACAGACGTGGGAACTGAGGCACAGAGAGGTAAATAGACTTGCCCAGAGCCATACAGTTGTCAAACATTTTAGGCAGGACTTGGTCCCAAGTCATCCTGACTCCAATCCAGTGCCCTATATGCTCCACCCCCCCCCCACAACACTCCCGAGTGAGATCCAAACCAGATTAAAATGTAATTGGAAAATATTTAACAAAATAAATAAAAAATACAGTAAAAAATAATATTATATGTTAAAACTAAGTTAATACATAGCCCACAGGAATCCTTACGTACAGATTAACGACTCCTGTTTCTATTGGAGTTTTACAACATCGTACCACACCAAGCTGCCTCCCTTTTCATCTTGAAATCCAGGTGAGGAAGAGGGAAATTACAACAACAGAAGATCTGGTCTTGATCCAGGCAGCCAGGTGATGCAGTGACTAGGGAGTTGGACCTGGAGTGAAAAAAGACCAGAGTTCAAATCCAGCCTCAGTAACATACTAGTTTTATGACCCTGGGCAAGTCACTTAATCTCAGTCTGCCTTAGTGTCTTCATCTGTATAATGGGTATAATAACAGCACTTACCTCTCAGCATTGTTATGAGAAGCCAATGAGATAGCATTTGTAAAGAGCTTCGCAAACCTGAAAGCAGTATGTGCTATAATCGGGCAGGCTCTGGACCTTGAGGGAATGATTCAGCCTCACAGCTGTGCTTCCTGTCCCACCTGCCAATCCTTCTCTGCCTGGCCCACTTACTCACACCAACACATTGCAGTTGGCAGGCAGCAAACAGCACATTACTTCTACAGATTCAATTAAATATCATGTTTCTCCTTACTCTGTTGAACCATTCACTTAGTAATTCATGCCATCATTCTCCCACTCTCTTTCTCAGGCAGTAAATTCAGTCTGAAGGAGCATTCAGGTTTTTCTTCACTTGAGAATCTGGTTGTTGCTATTTAGTTCAATTGAGTTTCTGACATGTATCTGAATTCCAGAGTCCATGACCAATTAACTGGAATTAACATTGTGTTCAGTGGCTTTAGTCAACAAATCCGTCAACCTTTGAAGATCTTATAAATCCCATTTCCTCTTTCTTTTCTGCATTCAGTTTAGCGGCCTAGGGAAAATGACAACCCCAAGTCAGGAACATTTCCATTTATCCAAATGATAAGCAGGGACACTGGTCATATGAAAGGACTACTTCTATAATTTCTAGGAGGTTCATTTATTCTGGTCCATTTGTTAAAGAATTACTTAACACCATTCAATGAATAGATGAAGGATCCTTGTAAGGAGAGTGATGATCTCAGGGGAGAGTTGTATCACAAGAACATTTAATACTTTGTGACTGTGAGGAGTGTTAGTGGATGAAATATGTGGTCAGAAAATGTGATACTTTCTGGGAAATTCTTTTAAAATAGATTTTTATTGATAACTTTTGTTCTTACATTGCCTACATTTTCCCCTGTATCCCTTTCCTTTCCCTCTCCCAAAGAGCCATCTCTTATTTAAAAAATAAAAAAAGGAAGACAAGAAAAAAATCAGCAAAAACTGATCAATATATTACAAAAGTGATGTTATATGCAACATTCCACACCGATTTCCCAAAAATCTTTAAGAATAAAATAGATTCCTACCTCTAGTTTGGTTGAACTCATGCATTATTAAGAGGCTTCATGACCTCTGATCAATTCATTTTGCTATTCTTTTCTATTAGCTTTAGGGTTGATTTTTATGGGAATCAGTGACCTTCTGCATGCCTCTTGTTCAGGCTTGTATTTTGTTTTATTTTGTTTTTCTGGTTAGGGTTTTATTTCCATAGAATGAAATCCAAATGATAAGGAAGGAAGCTTATATTGGCCAGCATAGATCTAGCCAATGCAAATTTGGTGGGCCATATTGACATTTGCTTACCTGATAATCCTGGGAAATGATTTACAAAACTAAGCTAAGTGTAGTTTTGCCTGGATTGGATCAGCATTTCCCAAACTCTATGAAGAATCCTGGTAATTTCTGACAGTGTGAATAGGAGTTTCATGAAACAGTTTTGATATTACTCGTATTTTCTCCTCAAATTTATCAACTATGAAATTATGTAAGTACCAGAAAGTACTTACATTCAGCATTTTTAGTATTAAAATCAACAATTTCTTTCTGTTTGTTCCCTAATTTCCCTTTTCTGTTGCCCTTCCCTTAATCCCAAAGGTATTCCAAATATAGCCACCACTCTCACTTCTTTGCTCAGGCCAGCCTTTCTGAGGCTGGTCATTATATTCAAATCCGTGGCCAAATCAGTGTGGAAAGTGTCAGGTTAGTTAATTTTTTGAGGTTGTGTTGGAAGAGATATTCCATCTCCTAAATCTGTGCATTCTTAATGTCTCTTATGCATTGCCAGGAATGCTCTCAATCCTCATCTGAATCCTCCTGGCTTCCCTGGCTTTCTTCAAGTCTCAGATAAAATCTCACCTCTGCAAGAAGCCTTTCCCTGTCCTCTCTAATGTTTGTGCCTTCCCTCTGAAATTATCTCCAAATTCCCTATCTATATTTATTTGTGCAGTATTGTTTGCATGTTGTCTCTTCCATTAGACTGTGTGCTCCTTGAGAATAGGTACTGTTTTGCCTTTCTTTGTACACTTAGCCCAATGTCTGCAAAATAGTAGGCACTTAATAAACACTTGTTAACTTGACTTTGACCTCATGCCTGCTAGAAGCCAATCAAGTTATACTCCTGATAAATGTGAAATGAGGAAGGGTGAGAAGTTGAGGATAACACTAAAGTTACAAACTTGGGAGGAAGAATGGTAATACCTTCAAAAAACATGGTGAAGTTTTGAAGTGGGGTGGATATGAGGGAAAAGATAATGAGTTCTGGTTTATACATGTATAGTTTGATGTAGGTAAGTAGTGATGTGAGACTGATGCATAGAGGAGAGAGTAGGACTAAACATATATGTATACATACAAGTAAATACATATACATATGTGTGGGGGGAGAGAATCAATTGACTTCACTATACTTCAGATTTCTCATTTTCTAATTGGTCAAATGAAGATATAAATAGCATCTGCCTCATAGGGTGATTGTAACCATAATAATACCTGTAAAATAACTTAAAACCTTAAAACTCTTTATAAATATTGGCTCTGCTGCTGCTTCTACTACTACTATCATCACCATCACCACCACCAGTACCAACAGTAACAGCAACACCTCTGCTACTACTACTATTACCATCATCACCACCACTACCACCATCACCACCACTACTATTACTACTACGACCACCACTACTACTACTTTCACCATCATTACCACTACCATCACCAATTACTACTACTACTGCCATCCCCATCATCACTACTACCACCACTACTATTACTATTACCACTACTATTACCATCACTACCACCCCTACTACTACTGCCATCGCAATTATCACCAACATCCATACCACCAGCACTACTACTACTACCACCACTACCACCACTACTATTACCATCACCACCACCACCACTACTACTACCACTACTACTACTACTGCTGCTGCTGCTACTACTACTACTACTACTACTACTACTACTACTACTACTACTACTACTACTACTACTACTACTACTACTACATAGTCAATGGAAGAAATATAATGTGATAGGTCTAACTACCAAAGTTAAAGGATAACAGTTTGGAGTACATAGAGTTATGTTTCAAAGCCTATAGTAGGTGGAAATCAGTGTAATAATGAACCTTCGTTTTTGTTTTTGTTTTCATTGTACCTGTGATTTCATTAGTATAGAGAACTCCCAGTGGAAAAACTCCTAACAACACAAATCAACACCTTCCCTGCACCTTAGAGAGCTGCCTGGGGGTGCTGAGACTGTGATTTGCCTCAGGGCACACAGTGAGTTTATGATAGGTCCAGATTCTACCTCAGAGGCCAGCTTTCTATCAACTATCCATAGTAATAAGCCATGTTATAATGGGATAGAGATAGAGATAGAGATAGAGTTGGACTGCACTGCTACTTTGAGTTCATTTTTAACTTCTTATCATTTTACCTTGTGCTTATATCTTTCATGTCCTGCCTTTAAAATTGTATCATGCCATAAAAACTCCTTTTATCCTTATGTACTCACTAAATAAGCTTATCTCATTCTGGGTATATCTAGCACCTTTGTAGATGGTTCCAGTGAATTTTGCACCAAGAAAGAACTTGGTTCTATAACCATAATCATAATCCTTTGACCTTATGAAGCTGTTGCTTCCAGGTGAGCATGACTGTATCCCACTAAAATTTCACCCTCTATTCCAAGTTAATCTGTAATAGACTTCTCTCAAATGATTGAGGTCCCCAAATATTCGGAAATGAGCATAGATTGGAATATCCCACTGATTGTTCAATGTACTTTATTTTTAAATATACTTTAAATTCTTTAAGTTGATTGTGATGTACCTGGAACAACATTTGTTTATTTGAAGGTAAATTGCCAAAAAGAGTTTTTACCTTTCTGAAAATGTAGCTTTAATATTTGTGGCAAAAAGCAAGAAAGTAGGCTTACCAGGCATGTCAGCAATAACATGAAAAACTGCGTTCATGGCAAGCAAAATGAAACAACACTAACCAAAAAGCCTCTCTAGAACTCTGAATATATATAAACATATAACTCCTGAATACGTGTAAAACTTGGATTTTTATAAATAGAGTTATAGTGTGCTTAACTAGTATAACATTTCCAGACCATAAAATTGCTATAATCTTGACCTAACTGTTATCATATATTCTCCAGATGAAGCCATTTATACAAACCAGGTTGATAAATCAAGGCGGGAAATCAGTCTAGTTGTGACAAGAGACTTCCAGCCTGCTGCTGGTAGTGTGCATTGGTAGTCCTTGAAGGCAGTTTTCAGGAACAGGGGCCAGAATTATCAGTAACTCACATCACTTGTCTATCCCCCTAAAAGGAAAAAATGCTCTGTTTAATCAGATGTGGGTCATTCAGACTGATTTATACCAAGTCATCACCATTGACAAGAACTTTTCAGACAATCAAGCAGTTGTTTAAGTTTGTTATCTGGCAGGGACAAAAAGCTGTTTTCTCTTTTGTTTGTTTGTTTTTGCCTTGCTAATCTTTCTTCCTGGGTGGTGTCAGGAAGTCAGCAGTATGTAGTGGTATTCTAGCCAAGCTATTTCCTGGGTTGCCATGAAATTAAGGTCAAGTCTGGCTACCTTACTCTTAAGCAGTGGCTTCAGGCAGAAGGTAAGATAGAAAATTAACATAAATTTCCAAACAGTCTTAGCAAAACAAAACAAAACAAACACAAAAACACAACAACCCTCCTCCCCACCCCCACTCCCAAAAAAACCCCAAGTCCTCCTCAAATATTATCATAAATTTGGAATTATAAGGGATCATAATGTTATCTAGTCATCCATATAAATTTACATGTAACTGAGGCCTAGAGATGTTGAATTAGTTGCCCAAGTTCCCACGGGTGGTAAAGTGATGAGCTGAGATTCAAATCCAGATTCTCTAATGCCAAATTTAGAATTTTTTTTCTCATTATACTACACTACCTTGACCTGAAAAGGCCAGAGTGATTTGTATGTCACAGTACTCTGAATGGTTACCCAGTTAGAAGCATCTAGGATCAGAGAGCTTAGATCACTAGAGTATAAACTGGTATAAATTTATGAGAGCAC